AAAGCAGCGGTTTGCAATCTGGTATGCCAACAACCTGTCGCTGAAACATGTTAACATTTATTATAACTACTCCTTATGACAAAAAATTGCTGGTCGTGCTTAGGGTTGTATTGTTTTATAGTGGTGGTGTGCAATCTGTCAGTGTGGGAACCACTGGAGTAGAGAGCTCAATGACTTGCCCAATAGTAACCCAAGGGAGTCTATGGCCAAGCAAGTAATTGCACCCAGGTCTCCACACCGTCCTAACTACCACCTCACCCTTCTCTTTCTGCTCTTCAAGTACTTCCAATTGTCTCAGACTAAACCTTCTATTCGATTCTTTTTAATTCACAAAAAATCAAGAGATGCTCCATGAAAACAATTACTGATTTCTAACAAGGCCAAGTTCTGGATCAATACCTAAACAACACACAAAGAGCATTAGACTGATCCTTTGTACATAACTCCAGAAGACATGATTATCATTGCCATCTTCCAGCTAAAGTTAACTACATTTTGCAATGGGGAAGCTGACATCCTCCTGTTTACTGACAGGGTCACTATTTGGCTCAAGTTTTCACTCTTGCTTTGAGCTCAAACAGAACTTATGAATGAAAAGACGACTTCCCACCTCCCTCCTTTCCCCACAAAGAGAAGAGCAATGCCCCCTGCAAACACATCCAACACCTGCTTCAGGTCAATGAGTGGCTCACTATTCTGAGCCATATTTTTTCCATCCCAGGGCCAAGAATCAGCAGTGTGATGCTTCAGACCTAAATGTAAATACATTTTGATTTTCATAAGTTCAAATAAGTTCTTTAAGCAATTTTTTTCAAACTGAAAAGGAGACTAATGAATATACCATAAGGACAGGCAAGGTTCTTTGGGTAGATGTGACCTCTTTTATTAGACCAACTGAGTAGCTGGAAGAAAGTTCTTAGCAAGCTTTCAAGTGTACTGACCCTTCTTCAGGCATAGGGAGTCTCTACTGTTTTTCTAACTACTCAGTTGGTCTAATAAAAGATATCACATCTACTCAGAAAACCTTGCCTGTAACTGTGCTGGTTTAAGCACATAGGCAACCAAAACCCTATGAGGGGATATTTTTTAGGTAAAACTATTCAGCAGTACTGAGGATGTTCCAAAAAGAAGGGGGGTGGGGGTAAAT